TTTTTTTTTTTAGGCATCCGACCAGGTGAAAGGTTTTACTTGCTGCTCAAGTGTGCTTCGAAATTCCAAATGAAGTCTTTTTTTTTTTTTTTTTCACCGGGAATCATGATTAATAGAAATATAGTAGAAATTGAGTTTACTTGGAATCTTACCAAAGAGATGTTTGGTTCGCCAAAATATTACCGGGAATATTGGATAAAAATTACTGATTCCATATTTAGTTTAGAACGAAACATGACTTGGAATATGAGGTTATTTTACAAAAACAACCCCAAACTATTTTTACTTTTATAATTGATAGATTGGGTCTAGATTTTTATGTGTATTGAGGTATTTTTGTCTCAAAATTTATTGTTGTGTTTTCTCTTTACTTAGTATTCTGATTGGTATTCCGAATTACCATATTATTTTTGGTAATCTGAATAGTGAATTTTTTTTATAAATCAAATTACCGGTAATCCTTGAATATCCGGGAATCGTAATTTATTCCTTCTACCAAACGTGATAATTACATTCACAAAGAAGGATTACCGGTAATCCTCTTCAAAAACTTGAAACAAACATCCCCTTAATTTAAATCATCACTATATAGATTTCAGAAATCAAATATCTATACCCTCAAGTCTATATAAAATATTTTGAATATAGACCGACACCCTGATTTAATTTACTTTTTAAAAATAAAATGTAATACTAAAATTCATTTTGAAGGCCAATAATAGGTTCTAAAATAGGTATGCGGCCAAGTTATTAAGTACTTTTTTTCACATACATAATGTGTTTTATTATTTAAGTTAGCTAAGGTCTAATATGCAGGTTCCTGATAGGTTATCTAACCTATTTATATCCTTATTGCAAAGCATGTTTAGATGGGCTTAAAAAAAAATTATACATTATTTTAAAAAATAAATTTCAAAAGCCAGAATAATTCTAGATTCGTGTATCAATATTTCAAAGCATTTTTAATGAGAAGTAATATTTTAAAAAAAATTCTACAATTTTGATTTTCAAAAAAAAAAATCTAATTTTTATTTTTCAAAAGCGACATTTAAACATGGGAAAAGTGTGTATCATCTTAAAGGATGTAAAGTTGTGTCATCTTAAGTGAGAGAAAGAGATAGATAAAGGAGGAGAGAAAGTGGACAAAAAAATATAAAGGTATGGGTCCCATATCTTTATAAGAGTGAAAAGATATAAATTGTGTCATTTAAAAGGATAAACACTTTTCCCTTTAAACATATATAAAATATAAAAAATATCTAAAATACAACTTTTTGAAAAAGAATACATTCAAACATCACATTAATTACATTGCATGGGCTGCATGGGCTGGGAAGGACCAACGTAACTAAACGGACGTAAGTAGCTCGATGAAATTGCATGGGCTACATGCGTTGGGAAGGACCAAATTAAGCACAATTTTCTAAAGTTAAATCAAACTAATTTTAACCAAGACACATTTGGTATATAGCTGGGTCCTTTAAGCATATTGACATGGATTCGATCTCTGGCCTTGTGTATAGAAAAAGCTTTGTTCGAAGAGGCTGTATCCACAATCACGTGATCTCTCCATCTCGAGGGGATTAGTCCTTGACTTTCGGTTGGGAGATATTCTTGAAATAATTTCCGAAAAAAAATCAAACTAATTTTATCAGAATCACAATTTTTTTTTTCAAATTCGGAGGCTATATTTATCATGTATGGAAAACTAAACGGCTCATTTAATTAAACATTACTATTGGCAAAAAAATTAATTTAATGCTTTTTAAATAAAAGAATTATAAATTTATAGTTGTTTTGAAAATATTTACACATTTATTGCACAATGTCATGCTCCTTTTGGGCGTCACATGTCACGTCCAAAGAGGGCGTCATTGCCTTGTGGGTCACGCCCAAACCAAGCGTGACATGTGACGCCCAAAAGGGGCATAACCCATGTAGCCTATATAAATCCCCATTTTTTTATTTTTACCATTTCACACTCTCAGTGTAACCTCTCTTTAAGACGATTGTGCTCTCTACCTTGCATGGAATTTTGCGTAGCGAAACTCTGCTAACAAAAGTAAGTTTTTCATGCCTACTACATTAGGAATATGTTAGAGTTTAGCGTATATTAGTGACTTAGAAAATTGTTATAGTGACTTAAGAATATTACAGTGATTTAAGATGAGTTATGCATGCTGTATTGACTTAGGAATATTATAGTGACCTAGTATTATTATTATTTAATTACGAATAAATTAGTAACCTAGGTATTATTAGTATTTAATTACGAATTAATTAGTGACCTATTCTGAATTATTATTTAATTACGTATTAATTAGTAACTCAGGTATTATTATTTAATTACGAATTCATTAGTGAATTAGGTATTATTATTTAATTATGAATTAATTATTGACTTATGATATTATTATTATTTAATTATGAATTAATATACTTGATTATAAAATTGTTACGAACATGATGTGATATTTTGTACGAATTAATTAATTACGAATGAATAAATGACCTAGGGTTTTTGCTTAATAATTTTGCTTAATTGTTAGGAATTTGCTTAATTGATTTTTAAATTAAGGGTTCATTTTTTCTACAGTCAATGTAGATAATTTATCTACAGTGAGCCCAAAACGACATCGTTTTGAGGCAGAAATCAATGTATTTTAGTAATTATAATTTATTTCAAAGTTATAATAGTCTTTTTTACTATAATTTTTTAATTTTTCAACCCAAAATAACGTCATTTTGGGAGCGAATGTAGATAACTTATCTACATTCGCTTTAGAAACGTTAAAGCCTTAAATAAATGTTGTTGTTACATGTTGTAAGTAGTTTTTTTTTGTAAATGTTGTATTACACTTCTATGCATAATTTTATTAGAAATTAACGGTCACAATAAATGCTCAATTGTATAGTTTTTTATTATCGCTGATTCATCATCATCTGGGAGTTTTGCATCCGATCATGAGCCAGAGTCTACCGATCCTAGTATCTGTATCATACGTGGGCAGTCCTTTAGAAGAGGATGCATAGTGTCTATATTTCACATTGGGTGTGGAATACGGAACATGTTCGTCAGTTGAAGACCCGGCGTGACAAGGTACAGGGGCCTAATAGGCCTAATAGGCTTTAAATATTTTACATTGATTTAAGCTATCAAAATCAAAGTCTGACCTAGGTGACCCATTTACATCCCTCCTTCCAATGTTCATATCACTTTTCCATGTGCATATTTTTTCTGTTTAAAACCGTATTGGCATTGTATCCACACAAAAAAAAACCGTATTGGCACGAAGACACGGGGTATTAGTTTTATTAAAGGAGTCGATTGTTTATTCTCATAAATAACGAGATTTGGTAATTTATACTTATTACTTTTTTTCTTACTATCTCTTACTATCAAATCTTAACCGTTGATTTTCGTCAATCTAACAGTTATAATTAATTGGATCACACTTATTAATTAATTATTAATTTTCAATAAAAGTATAACTGTTAGATTGACAGAAATCAACGGTTAAGATTTAGTAGTAAAAAGTAGTAAGAAAAAAAGATAGTAAATATAACATTTTCCTTTATTATATACAAAATGAAAGAGTTATTGATATATCATCGATTCTTATGTTTAATTCATGTATTTTGGTAGCAGATATAATTTTGTCATTAATTTATTTGTCAAAGTATCATACAATACATCATTCAATATTTAAAAGTTTAAGAAAATAACACCCTTCTATAACACTGGTGCTTGATAACTAGTCTAATATTGTTTACTTATTAGATTATTACATTGTATTTACTTAGCCTGGTAGAATATACGGTAATCCTTCGATTGGATGCATAATTTTATTTTACAGAAGATAGATAGATGCCAAAGGTAATGGCAACCGTGTTACGTACCCAGAGGGCTGGGATTTATTTGAGCCTAAACTTGGTGAACTTCAAGCAAAGATGAGGGAAAGTTGGAATCTTTTATGTTGGGCATGTGTGATGAAATTTTATTATGCTGCTTCTGAACTGTATGAATGTGAATTTTTTAAGTTTTTATTAACCCTTCTTCAGTATATAAAGTATGTGCACGACAACGTTCAACAGAAATTATATTGTTTGCAATAGTGTTGGTTATATTAGAATAAATCTTTGGTACTACTGTAGCACCAAAGATTCAGTACATCCCATCAATAAAAATATTACATGTCAGCAAAAGTTCTTTTTTCTCTGCCAAATTTTTTCTCTCTCCTCTGATGTGTAATGCTCCTATTAGTGAAATGTACTGAATCTTGGTACTACAGTAGCACCAAAGATTTATTCGTTATATTACAGTGAGATCTGGAAACCTGGCACATTTTTTGTTTTTCCAATATACAATTCATTTGTGCTTTCATGGATTTCGATACTTAAATCACTGCGTACTTTGTTTGAATTGCAGTCTGGTTATGAACGTTTATGCCGCTTACGGTACATGCAACCACACCATTAACATTTTGCCACCACTTGTGTTTGCCTTTCGCCCAAGCTACTCAGGGAATAGGTTATAGAGCATGTGGTTGTAGGTGCAATGCAAGTGGAACGCCATTTCCTACAATTATTTTGTTTCTAATTCTCTTAACCAAAAAAACAAAAACAAAATAGAAAGAAAGAAAAAAAAGGCCATAGACAAATAGAAGGGAATCGAAAGCCAACTAGTAAACAAAAGAGAGGAGGCCAACCATAACCTTATCAAATGCCAAAGATGAATAGCGATTGCATATGACAAATGATGTCGATATATCGAAAAAGAAATACTAATGCTCAAAGCTACTAAAGATATAAATATAATGAGGAATCTCCACACCTTAAAATGAGTAGCAAAATGAGAACAATGAAATTATGAAAACTCATCCAATTGGATACTTCGTTATGATCAATTCGGAAAACGAAAAGAAGTCTGCATGAATTATTCAAAGTTCTCAAGGAATATTATCCTTCAATATATAAATTCAGCAAAAAAATTTGTTGGGCTAAAACTCCTTTTGAAACCATAGTGTAGCTCCCAATGACATTATTCGGGGAAAAAATAAATGAAAACCTCAACATAAGTCGAAATAAAAAAGTGAAAATGACAAATTAGAAGGAGAGGAGAGGAGAGGATCCAAGCAATGCTAGTACACCATTGTGAAGTTCAAGTTCTCATAAGCTTAAACTTATTAGTACCACGACCGTGACCATTGTGAAAGTTGCTTAAACTAAAGCCTTTATAGAAAGGAATAAGGACCTCATCATCTTAGCAAATTTTGAAAAGCACCTCTTAAAACTCTTCGAAGAAGGGAATAAGGTGAGCAAGCCAGCTATGTTCTGAAAAAGCACAGCTGCGAACATCAGCAACCAAGTTATCATACTCTTGCTTGCGATCACCAGCTGCATCAATAACACTACAAGACCCCAGAAACCTCAGCAACTCAGCCAAGCAACCATATGCAAAACCCCGATATTTGTTGGTAAAAGCTTCATCACGAATACGAACACAAGGATACTTCAACAGAAATTCAGTTAACAAAGGAACATCCTCTTTAACCAGGTGGTTGCTAGAAACTAGCAACCCCAACTCCTGCACTATAGGAATGCGACCATTCTCATTATGCTCCAACCCAAGATACTGTTCCCAAGCACCATAAACGTCTCTTCTCTATCCCAACAAACAATAAAAGGACAATGTAAACATGAATTCAAACATATGAAAATGGTACTAAATATCAATTGAATATAAAAGAAAAAAGGAAAGAGATTTTAATCATAAATGAATGTACCTGAAAACGACTATATACAATTTCACTGTCCTGAAGGTACTCAGGACGCCCTGATGAAACAAAAGCAAATTTCCACTGCCCAAACAAGAAATATAATAAAAAATTAGGTAAACTACCTGAAATATACTAACCATTATTTACTCAATGAAACATCCATCCCTCAAAAAAAATGAAGAAGCCTGATATACAGGGAAGAAACAGGAAATACCTTGGCAAAAGCATAATCAGTAATTTGAAGTTTCTTCTGTATTCGCACTTTAATTTCAGACAAAGTCTCACCTTTATGTACGACCAAGAAAAAGGGTTTCCCAAAGTTCTTAATTTTCTGTACATATCAAATGGAAAACAAAGTTAACAAAAGGTTTGGCAAACAATTAATGTCAGCACCAAGTATGGAAAAAAATTAAAAACATTACAAAATGTACAGATCAAAATGAATAATTTTAAAAACTATTTACAGTTTGTTCCTGAGCTGCTTCTTTGATAAAATGATAGACATGAATTAGATGACCATGAGGAACATTTTTCTCTTCTTCCGGAATCTGTAAAATTTATATACAATACAACCAGGAAAAGACTCATTTATTTTGTTACACAAACTGAAAAAACAATATAATTACTTATATAAAAAATCCACTTGGTGCTATTTATTTGAATAAATAAAAGCAGGACCGCTTCATGGACTAAGAGTTATCTCCTCCCTTCCCATCCCCACTCACACAGAAATAAACTGCTACCTCTTCTGCACGTAATGTCCAGTATTGATCATTGAGGTTTTTAATCTTTTCATTGGGAGAAAACACCTGCACAATATTTTACAATACTTAATTTACACTACTTAATCCTGATTCACCAATAACTTAATCAAAAAAATAATCAAGGATAATAATAAACCCAGAAGCAGTTATTATAGATGTATCGCCAAACCTTGTATATCTTGTGATAGAAGACTTCAAGCAACCTAAGCTCAACATCAGGACGAGACAATTCCACCTGTACTAACGGTAAAAAGTGAGCATGAGATGTATAACCAAACAATTAACGTGAAAAATCATAAATAAAGGAAAAGTTGACAACCTTATATCTTAAAACTACTACTTACATAACCCTACAACAACAGCACAAAACAGGCAAACATGGAAGAAAAAAAAAAATCAAATAAAGCCATAAAGCAAAAATCACACAAAGCCACCTTTGTTTTTAGATCATCAAGGACATCCGCCACAGTACTCTGCTTTGGGAGTCTGATGGTATGAACAACCACCTGAATAAACAAATAAAATAAAATAAAAAACTTTAAAAAATATGAAAATAGGACTAGATGAAAAACCCGAAGAGAATCAGATCCCTGTACTCACTTCATCCTTGGTAGCATGGTGAAATTCAACTTTCAGAGTTTTCCAACCTTGCAATTCTGGCAGAGGGATGTCAAGTACTTCATAGTATAACATATCGGAAGCCTGACATACATGAAATGAATAAGATGTTTTGTTTTTAAGTACGGGATATTATGAAGGATTGAACAATAACTACCTGATCATCGTGAATCAGCATATCAGATAAATGCTTCACCCCTCGGTAGTTAATAGGCCGGGGTTTTGGTTGTTTAGAGGAGCAGTCGTGTGGGGTAAGCCTAATTTTGGATGGATCATCCAGACCAAGTTGTTGAGCAACTTTCTCCACAACATCATCATATGTATAGATCCTTGTCCTAGAAATTATAAGATATAGTATATGATAAGGATGTGATTCTGAGCATAATAATATATAAATACTGCAATAGTGTTAAATATAATTAATCACTCCAATGAGTTCCAAAATGCTTACATCTTCAGGCAGAAGCTATCTTCTTTAGGTTTATCTAGAGATCGGAAGTGAACAACCTAAAATAGGTCCATTCGAGATAAAAAAAAAAAAAAAAAAATCATCTGATTGTTTACAATATAAACATAATGAAACTTGCAAGTCTTTTCGGATACACATACAGTTACGTGCATGCGTGCACACAGGGAAAATGAGGAAAGCGAAATAATGTAGACATAATAGCATGAACAAATATAAGGATAGCTTACATTTTTTCATATCACCAAAAACCAAACAAATTGCATTTAGTTGAACCCAAAAAAAGAAAATACCTGGCAGGTGCGCACGAAATCTAAGTATGAAGGCACATCTGGATAGCGGACACTTTTCTCACTATCCATTGCAGGAGATTTCTGAAAGCATATAATATCTCCATCTTCTAGCTGCAAATATAAAAAAAGAAAAAATGAGTGCTCCAACCAAGGAAACAGTATCTCAATGTGCATCAATTGAGTATATATATAATTTATTTACCTGGCTATCTCGAAATGTTAATTTATTATCAATTGGTTCGCACACCATATTTGGTTTAAACTTGATTTCCTGCACAACAAGAGGCACAGTTAATTCACTAATGCCACATGATTAATGTCACTAGTGGAGATCAGAACCTGAAGATGCCATCATAAATAAAGTTCCTCTCTCATCTGGAACATGATGTACTTTATTGGTCATCAATCACTAACAAGCTTAGTTACTAATCAATTGAAAACATGACTATTTGACCCAAACATAGTAGGTAAAGAAGTGTTAAGAGATTCAATAAAAAACTGTTCATATATTTAACTAAAAGCTTAAATTTTTGGGAGAGTTGGTTCACTATATGGTATCAAATCCCTGTCACCAATTAGTGAAGCGTTAATACTTGCCACATCCATTCTTCTAATTAAAAGTTGAATTTATGCCCATTATAAGTATAAAGAGCTCTTGCCTAATGAGACGTGTTAAAAATATAAGATCATTCATGTGTCTTCACCCAACCTAATAGCTTAAGTTTTTTTGAGAGAGCTAGTTGATGACAAAAATTATATGGTTTTAGATCATAAACTGCAGTATCATTATGAAGTTTTACAACTGATACATATTAAAGGGTACAACACACACTAACCAACCTCATAAAGTCCAATCTCTTCGTCAGGATCATAACCAGCCATTACATTTAACCTCATTAGGATTTCTGATGGCTTGCCAGTACTCTTCACAAAAAGCCTTCCAACATAACTGCCATCATATGGAAATACATCTATGTCAATCTTGGTCCACCTTTTACCGCAACAAATATTAAAATAGAGAAATTACTCAATACCGTAGCTCCTCTGTTTCAGGATCATATAACTTGAAGAATATTAAAATATCATCCTTTTCTTTGTCAGGTGGTGCAATTGGTCGTAAATCCTAATCAATAATGTAGTTTGTCAACATTTCTGAGCTTAGGAATGAGTATATCATGCTATCGAAAAAGTGTACAACATCCACATTAATACAAATGTTACCAGCCCAAGCTCCACTTCCAAAAATAATTTTAGTTCTGCATTGTGGAAATTGTTTGATTCCCATATCAACTGTCCAATCTGCAATGTGAATCAGATTGAGAAAAAATGTAGTACAACTTCGAATAATAGACAAACTGATGGATCTCAAAATTAAGCACCTACTTCAAGCAGAAATGAATCACCAAAAATTGAGCACCCCACCAGCATAACTATAACAAACTACAGTATCCAAAACATTTAATATGAAAAATATTTATACGGGTTACATTTTTTTTATTCATTTTTAAGAAATATAAAACAGCTAGCCAAAGATGGCAGAAATAAAAATAACAAATCCAACACACAGAGAATCAACAGTTGGTCCAGCCTGAGAAATGGAATCTGAAAAAATGCAATCAGCCAGGATAACCGTGAAATTAGATGGTTGATTAAGATGACATGAAGCATAGAACAGATTCAATAAAAAACATAAATGTGAGGTAAAAGGAACTCATTTGGTAGAAAACTAACATTGGTATAAATGCAAGAACCTAAACAATCAGAGCTGAAAAAATCATAGATAAGAAGCTTGAAGTGGGGTGTATGATTAAAATAATAAGGAAAAGCTTCTTGCAAGCTCAGAAATTTACAGATTGTGCTTCCTCAACATGTGTCAGTGGCCGATTAGGACGATATGTATAGTTTTGACGCTCTTGCCATAGCCAAAAGCGCTGGAATTGAACTGGTATGCCAAACTCTTTAGCAAAGTCTTCCTGAATATCACAGATTAGAAGTTAGACTTACAAAATCAAACTTATGAAAATAGAGAGCAATCGTAACCAACTTCATCAATTAAATTATGTGTAACAATTGTAGCATTAATGATAATTTCGATTGTAGCATCAATGTATTAGGATTGATTATTGTTATCACTGTAGCATTAAAGTATTATGATTACAGCATTAATGATGGTTACAAATCGTAACATTTTAAATTAATGAATAAAAAAAAACATAAGTCACAAAGATTCATATTATATATTTTATGAGATAGGTTATTCTACTTACCATTTTTTTGCCTACCTTTGCCTACCACTCTTCAATACCGTTAGATTAAAATCTAAAGAGAAGAGAGAAAGATAAATATTCATTAAGATTTTAATCTAATGGTCTTTTATAGTGGTAGGCAAAGGTGGGCAGAAAAAAATAGTAGGTAGAATAACTTATTCCATATTTTATTTTCTTCCAGCATCGGAGGTTTAGTATTTTGGTACTGTTTTAAATAACAATTGTTTTATCAGAGGCCACTAAATCCCTTGCAAGAAAAAATATCGATGAGATGAAACTGCCGAGTTTACCCTATTTTGAAATTATCTCCATTATCTCTTTCTTAAGTGAATCATGAATGAAAAGATTAAAACACTTCATGTCAGAATATTAATTTTTCCTGCATTCAAATTTTTCAAGGAAAAACCAACATTTTAAAATGAAATATTTACGACTGAGAGTGAGAGCAGAGCAGATAGAAGAGAAAATGCAATAGTTGTCATAGCATGCCTGCCAGGTCAAAGCACTTCTACCAGGAGAGCGAATAGTGTGATTAATGATGATACCTTGAAAAGGTTAAAAGACATATGATATTTTACACTGAAACTCCTCACTTTGTCATGGTCTACCAGATCAAAATACATATCCTTTCCAATCTGCTCAGCAAGGTCTTCATCTCGTGCCACCTAAGAAGTATCATCATATGTTATCACTAATATATTATAGGGAATTTCGTTTCTCACGACCCACTAAGAAGAAGAGAGAAAAAAAAAACAAGTGTGTCTCATCCACTTTTATATCTGTCCCATGATATAATTAAAATTGTCGCATTATATAATTAAAATTATATCATGCGACATGAAAAACAATATTCTCTATATTATAAATCCAATTTGATTAAGCAACTCACAGGGAAAGCATCTTGGTAAAGACACAAACAATACTCAATTCTAGAAAAGCAAGTTAGGAACTAGGAACCTTTATAACAGTGTAAAGGTGAGCCTCTTCGTTTTCTTTGATTTTGTTAACTTTTTCGTCCTGTTCTTTCTTCAGAACAACAGACCCAGTCTCCTTCTTTAAATCAATAAACTTGGCTTCAACTACAAGAGTATCATTCACAATATACCCTCCACAAAGATCATTCAATTCACCAAGTGGCATGAAGTACGTGAAACCCCAATCACTTTCTCGGGCATTGAATTCATGTTGCATCTCTGCATAGTGTAAGTAAAACGAAGTTACAACAAAACCTATGTCTATGCCCAAAAATTATGTGCATTTTCACTTTCTTTACTCTTTCGTTTGTTTCATTTAACAAGTCAATACTAACAATTTCATTTAAGACAAGTAATATAACTATATTTAGATTTAGATACAAAGTTAAAAGAAAAAGAATATATTTTACAAGTGGTAATTTCATATGTAGTAAAAATGTTTGATGAAGTAAAATTTGAATGAGAAGACCAAAGGAATATGATAAGAAACAAGTATGTTTGTTAATTAGGTTTAGAATTTTTATCAGGATATGCAAAAAATAAATGCTTAAGAATAAATGACATATGATATACAGAGAGGTATTATCATGTGGATTTGATATAAATCTACCACAATAATTCAGGCTTCTCAGTGAAAAATTAGTATTGCAACGACAATAGAATGTACAAGGATTAAATTTTCTTCCATTAATTGAAACAAACATTTTACAACATTCTTCACTTTTAATTCCAGCAACGCTCTTTTCTACATACATGCAAGGTACTTCATCCTGTAACAATTGCAAAGAACAAACTGAAGAGACTACCTTTTATCAGAGAGTCCTTTTTATAGACTTGATTAACTATTGTCAAGTTAAAGTTTGCATATATACTCCAACCATTGGGCAAACTAGCTGAATCTGCAACATCCAAATACAAGGACAAATAGTCCACATGGTTCCCTTTAGGGAAAATAAACACACGCCTGCACAGTACAAAACAAGATTCAGAAGGGATAACTGAAGATAAGTTAGTTCACCTAGGAACTAAAATGATAGAAAAATGAACATCATGAACCAATTGAGAGAATGTGTAAGCACAATACCATTTATGGCCACCAACAATAAATATTTCTGAATAGAGCTCTTTTTTAGTCAACCTAGAAAAGTTTTCAATTCTCCATGTGAATCTTGATGATGAAGGATCCTTGACAGGATCACTCTCCATAGTTTTGATTGCTTCAGGTTGAGCTACAAGTAATGATAATCAAAATAAATGAAAAGAACAGTTGAGTATCATGCCTTAAATCAGCTAAAAACTGAGGGGGGGAAATGAGTGACCTTAACTGAACTAGACTCAATTCTTGCTTACCAGGAAAGATGAGTAAAACAAGAGAAGAGAAAAATAATAACACACAATAATGACCTTGAAAATACACAAACCTTCCAAAGTGCTAATTAACAAGAAATCACTTTTTGTTCGGAAAAAGTGAACATAAAAAGCTAGAACTCTTATCCAATTTATCACTTTGTTATTCAACTATTTTAGAGTAATTTGATTGGATCATCTAAAAGACAATAAATGGAGTGACCAAAAAAGGAACAAAGCAATAAGTACCTTCCATGGGAGATAAGTATCACATCCCCTCTTTCTATTGCAAAAGTATAGGCCAAAAAAAATCATCGCCCTACTTTTAATCCTTTATACTAGGGAGAAGAAAAATTTCAGTTGAAAAAAAAAAAGTTATGAAAAAAAAACTTAGTAAATAAGATATAATTATTATATAAAGACCCAAAAAATTGAAAATGAAGCCGCCAAGAATCTCATTAAAAATAGGGGGGAAATAAAAAAAGGTTCGTTTTTTCTGCAGCAGATAAGTTATCTGCAGTAAGTCAATACGACGTCGTTTTGGGACGAAAATCATGGTGTTTTTGTAATTTTAATTTATTTTCGAATTATAATAGTCTTTTTATTTATAATTTTTTAAGATTTTAATACTAAAATGATGTCGTTTTGGGAAAAAATGCAGATAATTTCTCTGTATTAACTGCAGAAACATTTTTCCCATAAAAAAAATACAATAATATTTGAAATCGACTAGGGTTCCTGAATGCTATTGTGTAATTTTATTTTATTTTAGTACAATGCTATTGTGTATTTGTGTGCAAGAAATGTCCCAACACATCTGTCTTAAGGTTATTTATTTTAACCCATAAATAAAACAAGGGGAAAAAGTATCTAATGTTATTTTAGACAACTTTTTCTATTGTTCATCGAAACGACGTAGTTTTGCGATTGAAAAATTAAAAAATTAGAATGATAAAAACTATTATAATCCTGAAATAAATTAAAATTACAAAAATACCATGATTTCCGTCCAAAGTTTCGATGAACATTATATAAAGTTATCTAAAGTAACTTTAGAAAATATAAACTCATTAAATAATGATAAAAACTAGAAAAAAAATTTAATTTCAACATTTAAAAAAAAAAATTTACAGTTTAAAAGTAATAATAGCTTAATAAGAAAAATTTACAAAATATAAAATTTGAACTAGAATATTTACAAAATAAAATCAAAATTAAAATCAAAACAAAATATCTACACCAAGAAAATAAGAAAATAAGAAAATATTTTGCGCTATTATATTTTTTATTAATGTTTAATCAACTAAAGATTATTTAAAAAAATAGCCAACTTTAACAAAATGACAACACTCAGTAACAAAAAGAAAAAAGAAACACTATGAAAACAATGTATGAATAAAATAAACAAAAAGAAACAAGCACTGAAAACAAATTTGTAAAATGACGTTGTTTGAGCTCAAAATGACATTGTTTTAAGGCAGAAATCATGGTATTTTTGTAATTATAATTTATTTCAAAGTTATAATAGTCTTTCTTATTATGATTTTTTAATCTTTCAACTCAAAATGACTTCATTTTGAGAGTAAATATAGATAACTTCATTCACCAAAAAAAAATATAGATAACTTCTCTACATTCACTATAGACTATGAAGCACCGACACTTCAAAAATCCCGACGTGTCGTGTCCGACACTTCCCGACACTCTCGGACACTCTGACACTTCCCGACACTCCAACGCACGTTGTAAAAACTCAAAAAAAGGTTCAAAGGTTGCGTTGTGTTGCATTTTTAGTTCTAACTATTAGATTCGTTGGATTACTATTACTATTTATTGAATTTAATATAAATATTTGTGATATCTCATGTTTATTTGCAAAATTAATGAGTATTATAAGTTTGGCTTTATTTTTTTGTAAAATTATTAAATATTAAATATAATATACGCAACATAAATTAAAAATATTATTAAATATCAAAATGTGTCCTAACGTGTCGAAATCTAACATTTTTTAGAATTAACGTGTCGTCGTGTCGTGTCGTGTCCCGTGTCTCGTGTCAGTATATAGTAACATTAAATCCAAAAATAAATTGTGAAAATTATTTTTTGGTTTTCTTTATTATTATTATTATTTTATTTTAATTTGAAATTATTCCAACCCTCGAAGCTGAGAGATCACGCGATTGTTGGTACAGCCTCTCCCAACAAAGCTTTTTCTATACACACGGTGAGGAATTGAATCTCTATCAACATGACTAAAGGACTCAGTTATCTACTAACTGTATGGGACTTTGTTGGTTTATTTATTATTTTTATTCTTTCATATTGTTTATTTGAGGGGTTTTATGTTTATCATGTAACATGATATAACATCACTTTCTTACACACCACATTAAAGAGGTGGGGTTCACATGTTTTTCTTTCTCTTTCATCATTCCACTTTCTCTCTCCATTTTTGTGTGTGTGTTAGAAACAACACTTAAATCAGGTAACATAACACTAATAAAACCCTTATTTGAGAGAGATTAATAACAAAATTTGTCCCTCGTATTCTTGATTTTAAAAGTGAAACCTCGACAACTTCTTATGCTTTTTCATATCAAAGTGGCAAAGAAAAAAAATTAAAAAATAGAAAGATTACAATCTATACGTTATTTGTTAGAAATCGACACACGTACAACACACAAATCCAGCTTGAAAGAGAAATGGAAGAGAAATTGATATAGCGGTTTATTCTGGTTCACTCACCGTAGATTACGTTCAACTTATATGTACTATACTTGTCTCACTGATACTCGTTACGAGTCACTCAATTTTACAAGGGAATATAAACATAATTTAGAAAATCTTAGTAGCAATATTTTTCATGGGTCCAAACCCAAACTATTAAGAAAAAAAATATACAGTAAGTTAGAGGCCTCCTACTGACCCTGCCAATAAAGATCTTCATCTTCTTAAAAAAAAAAGATCTTCATCTTAATGCGAAGTATGAGTTATACCTAACATTATTCGCATCTTGTCACTCTTTCAGTGTCGTATTTTCCTTTCAGATTTAGTTCTTATGGACAATGTAATTTCGTTGGCTGATATTCTTGAACTCTATATGCTCTGTATTGTTTTTTCTGAACTCTCTTTTTTAGTCTATCTCCCTTTCTCTATATCAGTGTTTTCTAATACCTTTTTTTTTTCTCAATGTTTGACTTGCTATTTAAAAATTATAATCCTTCAATCAATCTCTCATGCTCATTTTATTTTAATATGGTTGGTAATTAGGAGAATATAGGGAAAATAAATAGATTTTTTAACCAAATCAAATTAAAATAGAAAATTTATGTGTTTAGCCTCTATGTCTGAAATGTTTCAATTAGGGCTAGATTTTGAATCTTGAGGAGAGGGATTAGATGACTAGGGTTTTACGTGTAGAAGACATGAATTGAGTAGACTGAAGACATGAGTTGGTAAAAAAAATGGATTGAGTGGATAGTAACTGACTTCACACTATCAAGTTAAAAGAAGATTTATTTATCTTTTTTTTCATTTTATTAGGGAAAAATATTTTTGTTTTTAGTGCAAAAAAAATTCTCTATCAGACTTCTATACAAGTGAGTGGGCCAAATTATAAAGAGAAGAAAAAAAAGATTAATAAAATTCACTCATTTTTACGTGAGTGTATAGAGAAATTTTTTCTATAGAAAAAGTAAAAAAAAATAGTAAAAAAATTATTATTATAAAATAAAAGCTAACCTGTCAAAATAGAATATTCACATATCATCAAGTGAGAGATTTTAGGTGTTTAGTTGTGCTTATTTGCTCTAAAAGAAGATTGAGCAGTTAACGAGATTACATTTGCAATTGTGCTTGTACCTGAAACAGTTTTCTGACGTTAAATCACCCTGACTTTTTTAGAACAACAAACTTTTTGAAATTAGTAGGCGATTTGTATGATCCATCGATACTTATCATGCATACGCGTAATTTAATTAACCACTGTCATCATATTCAATATTTTTTATCCCTAGTGCAGTAGCAGCACTGTCTTCAAACTTCAACAGTATGCATTAGGCACTATTAAATTCTAAATGAATTTTTTCAAGTATCTCCACCATTTAATATATTTAAAAAAAAAACTTCTTTGTGCAAATTGACATATGTAATGAATACTGCAAAATAACATGGTTTCCTAAGCTATATGGAAATTACCGTAATTGGCGAATGCAAAGGTGAGTGACATGTTCTATGTATTCTTCTTATTGTCTCATATTGAGCCGCATTGTTGTATGAGACAATGACCAGAATGTCACTCGTCATACAATAAGACCATATAATATTGGGGAATACATAAATGATTATGGGAGAATCGAGAAATTAGAAGAATATTGCACATTAATTAATTATAAGAAAAAATATGTGTTATTTTAAAGGGTTTTATGTTTATCATTTAACATAATATAACTTCACTTTCCTACACACACATTAAAGAGGTGGGGTCCACATGTTTTTCTTTCTCTTTCATCATTTTACTTTCTCTCTCTTTTGATGTGAGAGTTGGAAACAACACTTACATTATGTTACATAACACTAATAAAACCCTATTTTAAATAGAGAAATAATTCTCTGCTGTTGCATGAAAATTTTCATTTTTCCTGTACAGTCATCAAACTTTGCGTTTTGTTTTTTTTTTCCTTTTTTTTTGAAATCTGTGAGATCCGTTTATATATTTCAGCAGGAAATTTTTTTTTTATTATCTGTCACATAAAAAAATGCAATCCCTTTTAAATAATACAAGTTCTGCCATTTTATAAATATAAATAGATGAGAATTATAACTTATTTTTTTTTAATGAAACTCACACTTTTGTGTCATTTAAAATAACACACTTTTTCTTTAATTATATGGGATAAAACCAAATTCATTTATTCTGTTAGATATCCCAGTGTAATTATTATATGTAATAAATGAACTTGGTTTTATTCCATACAATTAATTAATAAATTTGATGTTTGTCATCTTAAATAACATAAGTTATCCTCCCACATGATATGATCATGTTAAATTACACATGAGAAGATCCATTTTCGTCATTTTTTGAGTGAAAATCTCACGTACAATCGATGAGTGAAAATGCACTACATTCTAGCAATGATGATTTTAGTGAAATGCATTCAAAACCAGATTTTGCTCCTGACTACTTAGTATAACAAAGATTTTTAAATCAGTTTTTTTATTTGCAATTCAATTCAGTTGACAGTTCAATTTTAATTTTTCTGTATAATTAGTGA